TGTGTGTGTGTGTGTGTGTGTGTGTGTGTGGACTTTCGAGTAGATCTTTGTCAATCAAGGTATTCAAGCATTTCATTGATCTTACACATTCACTATTTATCCGTGTGTACAGGATAATACATGGCTAATACAGGGTATATAGTATTCTGCACATAGTCTATAGGCAACAGCATTTTAACGATAATGCATTATCGTGATAAAGAGAAGAAAAGAAGGTGATATAATTATGATTATTATTATTAGTGTTATAACTGATATTATCATCATTACCATTGTTGCCATTATAAGAATCATTAGTCATATGTTTTTTTCCGCTAGTGGCATACGCAACTCTGTAAATATCTGCTATCCTTATCTTATCACCAGAATATGATGAGTCACGGTGAGGAACAATTTTTTTCCTTTGATATATCTTTACAACTTTCTGCAATAGTTAGACATGCTAATTCTAGATTGTTATTAGAGGGTTGTTCTGAGAGAGCGAGAGAGCGAGAGAGAGAGAGAGAGAGAGAGAGAGAGCGAGAGAGAGAGAGAGAGNTGACAACAACAGAACAGATTTGATACTGGTAGATGAATAGATAGATAGGGAGACAGATAGATAGTTAAATAAATGATAGATAGAGAGATAGATAAAACAAGTATATTGACAGGTAGTAAATATATATATAAAGACAGATAGATAGTCAGATACATAGATGATGATAGATAGACAGGAAAGATGGATAGATAGATGGACAGACAGATAGACATACAGATGAATAGACAGATACATGGATAGATTGATAGACAGACAGATGGACACATATAAATATACAGATAGATGGATAGATAAACAGATAAACCAATAGATACACAGAAATAGATAAATAGATAGACAGGTAGGTACGTGAATTGATAAATATACAGATAGATGGATAGATAAACAGATAAACCAATAGATACACAGAAATAGATAAATAGATAGACAGGTGGGTAAATATAAAGATAAAAAGACAGATAAATAGACAGATAGATGAATAAATAGTCACTTGGGAAGACAGTGCGACAGACATACAGACGCCCGTGTTTGCCTACATGACATAACCTTTTAACCAAGACATCCGTGATACGCGCGCCCCACGCCCGTCTGACCGCCGCCTCACTCTCCTCGCCCCGCCGTGATCAGCATAACTGAGGCAGGATTATACTCATAACGGCACGAAAGTGAGCGCGGCCTTGGGAAAGTGAAGGAATGTTGTATGCTGTCTCTCCTGCGACTCACTTTCATCGACTGTCCCGGGCCTGTGTGTGCTGGAGCTTCAACTTCCTGGTTTTATTAACGCTTTTATTGTCATTGTGAGGGTTATGATCGGTATTTCCATGGTCGTCATTATCACTGTTACTATATTACTACTGGAGCGTAGACCGGAAATCTATTGACATGGTTTGGTCTTCTCACAGTTTCGTTCTGTTCATTCATGGGCATGTGACCTCGTTATGGCAGATCCTGTGGGCTGGTGTGACGTTCCGAGGGCGACACCAGGTGGAGCGTCGGCCCTGCGCTCGTTTCTTCGTTTTTTCCTCCTCCCCTACATCTTTCTCCTCTCTCCTTTGCTCCTCTCCCGTCTCTTCCCCTGCTCCCTCCTCTATTCCTCTGGTTTCCTAGTTGTCTGTTTTCTATCTCTCCTCCCCTTCGTCTCTTCTCTCCCCTTTCGTAGCTCCTTCCTTCTCCTTGCGTATCTCCTCCCCTTCCCATTCCCGCCCCCTCCCTTCCCCTCCCCGCGCCGGATGTCCAGGGCTGCCTAGGTGTGCGTCGCCGCCGAGCCTGACTCCCGTCGGATTCGCGTGTTCGCTCGGGTGCTCAGGGGCAGGGAAAGGGAAGGGAAAGGAAGGGCAAATGGCCGCCTGTGTAGTCAGCAGAAAGTGGCCAGGGCGGGGCCATGTGTGGTTATGCGACGTGGCCAAATGATGGAGCAGAGCGAGATGCGTGGAGATGAGCCGACAGCGAGGTGTCGGTCCGGGTGAGGCGGCGGCCGCTGTTGCGACAGAATGGCCTCTCGACTGACCGCTTTGGTCAGAGAAGGTCGAGAACACACACATACGCACATACACAGATGTATGTATATATGTATATATATATATATATATATATATATAATATATATATATATATATATATATATATGTGTGTGTGTGTGTGTGTGTGTGTGTGTGTGTGTGTGTGTGTGTGTGTGTGTGTGTGTGTGTGTGTGTGCGTGCGTGTGTGTTTGCGTAATTACACAAACGCACACACACATGTACACGTACACACACGCGCGCGCGCACATAAACACAAACACACACACAAATATTGTGTATATTATATATATATATATATATATATATATATATATATATATATATATATATATATATATATATATATGAGAATGACCCTCCCTGGACGGGAGAGACGGCC